TTCCGCTTCTCCTTGTTGAAAGCGGAAAAATGACATTTCCCCAACAACAAACAACAAAACACAACACAATACACCAAAAAATTGTTCTGCACCATTGGTCATTAAAGCACTTTTTATGAAATAATGGGTTTCCAAAAATCTATTAAACAAACACTCCCTTACATAAAAGTGTTTTAATTAAAGTGATAATTACTTACCAGTACACCTGCTTTTTTAATAAAAATAGATTTATTGAAAGCCCTTTAAGAATAAATTTTTGTACAGCAAATTTTTAACCTTGGAAATGTTTTTTTTGACTCAAAGAAACATTACCCATTTTTCCCCCCATCAAACAATTTCAATACTTAGTTGTTGGTGGTTTTGTTTTTTTTCAAGATTTTTTTTCCATTAACGAAAATAGATCAAAGGGTTAAGAAGCTTTTGAATCCCGGCCCCCTTTCCTCCAACCCCTAGGAAGGAAGCAAATAATTTTCCCCCCTAATCTTTAATCCCACTTGCCCCGAACATTTAAAACGTTTAAACCTCATTTTAGGTTAAAAGGCCCATTAATGCTTCAGGAAATGCTTTCAATTTAAATTCCTCAAAAAACTTTATAATGTTTTGGGTATATCGTGTAAACAGTTTTTTCAACAAAAGTACTTCTTTTTTTGCCACAATAAGATGAAATATCTTTTGCTTTTCCTTTTGCTGCTTGGTTTTGCATTGGTAAAATATAATATTGGGGAAAATTAAGTATTTTGGTAAAGGAAGTCAAAAAAATACTAACTTTTTTTTGGTTTGGCATTTGTTATCCTTTTAGAACACCATTACTTTTCAAAATTCCCGTACTACTTACCTTCAGTTGGTTTTAACATTATTAAAAACACACATGTTTTGACATCCTTAACAATTAAAAAAATGATGGATTTTCCCTGAAAAATTGCATAATGTGGCCTTTTAAAACATTCCCCGGAACCAGAATACAAACCAATTTTACTTTTGAAAAGGGCTTTGAAACTTTAAACCGATCGTTTTTTCCGCCAAACCTTTTTTGGCATCGGGCATAATTACCTAATTAAACGTTATTACAATTCATTTGGCAGATTAAATCCAATTTGGTTTTAAGAAATAACGACCAAATAGCCGAAACAAAATAAAATCTTGTTTTCAAAGAAAAATGATTTTTAAAAAAAAAAGGGAAATATCCAAAATTCCCAATTTCAAATGACAACCCCTGGGAAATTCCGCCCCTGTAACGTGGACGTTTTCCCTCGAGAAAACGCGGGAAACAATGAAAAGATAAATCCCCGTTTTTCGATTTTTTAAAAACTGGGCAGTTGATTTTTTTTTCCCCATTCACTTTTAATTGGGAAGAAGGCCCCTTTTAGCCCTCCTCGATTTTTTGGGAAAAATTAATCGCTGGAAAATTGCCCCCCCTTTGATTTGAGGAAAGTAAAAAAAAGCTGGTTTTTTTAAAAAGTTTAAGAATTTTTTTTTGTGAAAAACTTGCATGCGGTTTTTTAAGAAAAATTTCCAAACTGGGGAAGAGGCCCTTTTTTTTTCGGAGTCTTGTTTTAATATAAGGGGTTAGAAAAAATCACTGAACTGGAAAAGAAGGGTCCCCCCCCCGAAATATTAAATTTGAAAAATGCAGAACTTACTTGTGCGGCCTTTCTTTTCTTGTCTAATGGAAAATAGCTTCTCCGAATGGAAGATGAATTGTCATATCCGGGCACTTCAGTATTGTCATCAATGCTGTCTGGTCTGGTCGGGGGTGCATTAAGGTCATTCAGGAATATAGGTCGCGCGCGCACATTAGGCGACCTTGGAGAAGGTAGAGGTCGCTGTTGCGGTTTGCTCTCTGGTGCTATGTTCATAGCCATGACTCATCTGTGCACATTCTAAAAACCTATGATGAGAATAACATAATAATAATAATAATAATAATAATAATAATAATAATAATAATAATAATGATAATAATAATTATTATTATTATAATTATAATAATAAACAACAATAAAATGTAAATCAAACGCATACACATTTTACACAATCCAGTCAGTTCATTTTCTTATTTATAACTCCAGTGGGTTTTTCCCCCCCCTGGTTTAAATTTTTTCAATTTTATGGTAAACTTTTCAAAACCCAAAAAATGAAAAAAAGGGGAATCATCGAAGATTGTTCCACAAGGATTACTAAAAAATCTGTGGTTTTTTAAAATTAATAGAAGTTCGGCCAAAAATAATTGCCATCAACATATTTGGATAATGACCGCGGGCCGTATCTTAAATATCATTATATAAGGTAAAGTAAAACATTTTACATTTTGTAATAGACGGTTTAATACTCCCCTTAAAATAGAAATGATACAAAAACAAGGCCTACATGGTTGTAATTTTTTTTTTGTCGCCCAACTAACACTGCAAGGGTCCATATGGGCGCTTCCTTTACTTAGTTGGAGGGTGGTTACTCCCGTGGCTTTTTATCAGGCATGAAAACGGCATCTGAGTAGAAACCATCGACCACGTTCCCCCTGCACAAAGCTTTGCTAGATAGCTTCTCCGTGTGATCTGACGGGGATTTCCCGGAACCCGCAAACGGTGAGAAAAGGGGCAAGTGGTTTGAAAAATCAAATGATCCTTTTCACCTCAGGCCGGGCCCTTTTAATATTGTATAATATAAGATAACCATTGATGCGTTGGGGGTCAAAAATAATTTTTTATTGCTCGTTTGGACCGTTAAATCGGTGGGTTTTTTACTTCTTGCGTGTTTTCGCCCACTTACTTTTTAATTTTGGGGCTTTTTTCTTCAGTCCTTGTATAAGTAATCCCGAGTCCTCCGCATCACCTTGCCTACCATTTTTTCCCCATGAAAATTTTCCTTCACTTTTTGCAGTTACAACAACCTACTTTTGACCTTACTTTTTTCCTTTTTATTAATTTTTCCGGTTTTAACTCTTTTTTTTTTAATAAATTTCCTCTATGTGATCAAAATAAATCAGTTCACAAGATTCGATTCTAAACGAGGAAGTTATATTGATTTTTATTGCTTTTTCACACACACAAAACACGATTTAACTGCGACACATTTTCAACAGAAAGGTCCCCAAACTATAATACGATTTAATATGTTGTCTGTTAAAAATAACATTTTCATAACAATAACAAATAATAATTTTGGTTGGTTTTTACGTCTCACCAACACAGTTTAGGTCAAATGGCGACTTTCCAGATAGACCTCAGGTGCCCTTCCGTGCATTATTGAGTAGAACCACCGTAAGCTAGCTGGATAGATTCCTCGCATGAAAGAATCCAAAGTCCTTGTCGGGATTCGAACCCACAGCGGTGAGGGGCAAGTGTTTTGAAGTTAACGACTTTAACCACTCGGTCACAGACGCCCAACAATTTCTACATCGTGTCGTTTTTACGTAAACGTTATGGTTTTTTTTTAATTATAGACTACCAACTGAAACTGTTATAAAAATATAAAAGTGACAATGGATATTTTGTTTTATTAAAATCAGTGTACCTGGAAGGAACGTCAATTTTTTGAAGAACGGTCGGGTCATATTCATTAAATGCACGTTAATGACGTCGGTTTGAAAAAAGGTCACGTCTGTCTCTCTTTACGCAAAATATAAAATTTATGTGCATCTATTGGCCGATAAGCAGAATAACTGTGTACTAATATAGGGAGGTCAATAAAAACAACTACAGTTTATAAAGTAAAAAATGGGCAAAATTTATTATGCCATTAGAACAAGTATCTATTAAACACAATGATATACCCTTATCTGGCTGAAAAATCCGGTTTCAAGGATTTTATGTTAATATCTTGCTTTAGTTAATGACTCATTTGAGCCGTGTCACGACAAAACCAACATAATGGGTTTGCGACCAGCATGGATCCAGACCAGCCTGCGCATCCGCGCAGTCTGATCAGGATCCATGCTGTTCGCTATCAGTTTCTCTACTTGTTATATAGTTTGTAAACGAACAGCATGGATCCTGATCAGACTGCGCGGATGCGCAGGCTGGTCTGGATCCATGCTGGTCGCAAACCCATTATGTTGGTTTTGTCGTGACACGGCTCAAATTTTATACTTGGGGGAAAATTATGATACTAATCAGCGCACACGTAATTGTTTACGAGTTAAGCATTTAATCTGCAATTAAATTAAATGATAAGAGATAGCCTATGTCGACCCGTATGAAAACCACACAGTTGTCGCAATTATTCTCCAAACAAACAGAATTCAAAGCATTTTGTTTGTTGAATTGTTTTTTAAACTTTATGCTGGTATTTGCCTTCAAAAGCATTGTCATTTTAATAATAGAGAACTAATCAAATTTATCAGAATAAATCACATCAATAGTTAAGGTGCATGCCCTAATATAGAAATGACAGAAAAGAACCGCCCGAATTATTTAAAAACAAAAAAAAAACAAAAAAATAAAACCCAGATGTCTTGAAATGTGTCAAAATCTAAAATGGTCATCTTTTACGTCTAGATGTAATTACTTTTCTGGAATTATGGCATAGAAAGCGATTAATAAATTAAGTTTTTAACACCAGCATATATTTCAGATATAATTCCGTTATCTCAGAACAAAACGTACTTATTAAGATCAACAGAGAAAAAATACATCATGCATAAACGGCCCAAAAAATTACTTGACACATACTTTTAATTATTCTAGTATGGAGTTATGGAACAATATTCCTTTAAAAATAAGAAATTCTACAAGTCTTAAACTGTTTAAATCACATTTCAAATATTTATTAATATCAAAAGATGGGTTATAGACAATTTACTTATACGATATTACATTATATATGTGTTATCTTTGATGCTTTAATGTATTGTCTTAATAAGGCATACTTTCTTAATAAGAGTTGTTATTAATAATATTATTATTATTAAGTTGTTTGAAGATCTTTATAAACACCAGCTTTCATCCATTCATTGTGTTGTAAATATTAATGTGTGAATAGTAAAATGTGTTTACTTGTTTGAAATAAACTATATTTAAACTAAGTTGTTTTAAATTTTAAAGAAGACAAATTCAATATTTGTTCAAATTTACATCTTATTTGCCAATTTAAATCAAATATAGGTTAAGGTTACTGGTAACAACGTGTTATTTTCAAAAAGTTTTAGTCATTTTATAAAATCAACAAACCATTTTCAATATTTTACTTACCACAAAATACAATATTTCACAGTTTAAAGTCCAAAATCGTAAAATAAAAATGAATTTTACAAAAGCAAAGTCACGTTATACTCGTATAAACAACACACATTCAATCTAACGCAGATGACACGAAAGAAATAAATATCTCTTTATAAATTGTAAACCGTACTATGTTTGTTTATCTGACTTTACAAAACGATCCGATTTCCAAACTTTTTACTTCCTAGTCAGATAAAACGTGACCTCGTTGCATTTTTCGCACTTTAATATTTTCGTATAAGGGTACGAACTGTTTTTCTGTGTTATAATTTTGTGACTAAACTGAGTTAAATTTGACTGCCTTGACTGACGTAGTACCTGCTTTGATAGCATGTTGGCTGATATCAAAGTCTGAATAATGAATGTTATATATTTTAATGGAAAACTATTCTATGTAGTATGGAGGGCGATCGTTGCCAAAATTCCAGACATGTAATGTGTTCCTTTTGAAAAACTACTTTTGAAAATGCGAACATGTATGTCTAGCATTTTTTATTGTTTTCGTGCAGTGCAAATGATATGCCTCTTAATCCAATCTTTTAATTGAAGGCACCTGCTTTCAAATAACAAGTTTACATGTAAATGTTAACAACTGACCTAACATGGAGAACAACAACAAATTTACAAGTTTATATCTTCCATTGCATATAATACATAAGCATGTTTACACACTTGTAGATATCTGTCTGTACCTGAAAAATACAAAGGAAATGTAAAACTCGAATACAGAAAGTATTATTAAATAAAACGTGTTTCCAGACGTAGAACTGCAACAGTACGTTTACACAGTAACATGTTTAAAATGACAAAACTAGATTTACAAAGTTAAACGATTTTAAGTCATGCATGACGCCCCGCCTCTCTCTGAGTATTTACGATCTTCTATTACGGAAATGTACGGACAGGTATAATACCCGTCGCCTCTCTCCTATTTCTAAATAAAGTGAAGGAAAACACGGCGTCCATTCTAAATTTTTTTTTTTATTCTATAAAAAGTCAAATATTTTTGGTATCAAATGAAAGATTACTCCATAATACGGAAGCGTCCTGGTGCCAATTCATAATGTTCTATAAAAAAATAAACTCCTACGTAGGAGATAAAAAAGCCTAATTAGGAGTTTGTAACTCCTACGTAGGACTTTTAAACTCCTACGTAGGACTTTATAACTCCTACGTAGGACTTTATAACTCCTACGTAGGACTTTATAACTCCTACGTAGGGCTTTTAAACTCCTACGTAGGAGATAAAAAAGCCTAATTAAGAGTTTCTAACTCCTACGTAGGACTTTTAAACTCCTACGTAGGACTTTTTAACTCCTACGTAGGACTTTATAACTCCTACGTAGGACTTTATAACTCCTACGTAGGGCTTTTAAACTCCTACGTATGAGATAAAAAAGCCTAATTAAGAGTTTCTAACTCCTACATAGGACTTTTAAACTCCTACGTAGGACTTTTTAACTTCTACGTAGGACTTTTTAACTCCTACGTAGGACTTTATAACTCCTACGTAGGAGATAAAAAAGCCTAATTAGGACTTTATAAGTCCTACGTAGGACTTTTAAACTCATACGTAGGACTTTTTAACCCCTACGTAGGACTTTATAACTCCTACGTAGGAGATAAAAAGCCTAATTAGGAGTTTATAACTCCTACGTAGGACTTTTAAACTCCTACGTAGGACTTTATAACTCCTACGTAGGACTTTAAAACTCCTACGTAGGAGATAAAAAAGCCTAATTAGGAGTTTATAACTCCTACGTAGGACTTTTTAACTCCTACGTAGGACTTTATAACTCCTACGTAGGACTTTATGACTTTATAAGAAATGCAAATCTCAACATTCCGGACCGGTATATCGGCGAAGGAACAAGACACTTACCCCCCCCCTCCCCTCAAATCTTAAATATTGAGGACATTTCACCTTTGGTTCATACAGAATTTATTTAAGTTTGATTGTGTAGGAAGCTATAAGCTTATAGACACACTTTCGAATCCGTTCCTGGAACCAACCAGTACGTACTTAGCAATGAGTGTAAAGTTTCTTGCTCAAGGAAACAACGGCTTGCGCCTAACGGAGTTTGAACCCATGCGGCTAGCGATCATTAGGCTACTAGTCACACGGCCATGCCGCAACACTTCACCTTTTAATATAGTGTCTCAGGTTTCTAGAGAGTAGTGTCTTAGGGTGAGGTGTCTGTAAGCATTTGCGATGTATCCCGAAAAATTGCTTTACAGCTATTCGAAAAAAAACTTACTCGACATCAAAATATATCAAAATTTTAAAAGGCTTTAATGATTACGATTTCAATACGAACTAGCTGAACAAAACGAGCAATTTATCCATTTTCGGCCGTTTCAAATGATTAAATCCTTATAGGAGGCAGGGGGGGGGGGGGGGTAGTGAAGTGTCTTGTTCTTGTTCCTGCTCCGTAAAGTTTAAGAAGATAACGGGTTGCGGAGCATTATACATGCATATGTTTAATAATGAATTACATTGTATATCCTACTTTGAACAAAGTTTAACCCATACATTTTGTGAACATGTGTATAATAAATATTACTAAACGTACATAATACAGAATCATCGTTTAATATATGCAGAGAATGACAAAATCATCTCTGGCTACAGACTAAAGGTATTTACTAAAGTGGCTTGCGACAATTACTACTGGACACATATGAGCCGCGCCATGACAAAACCAACATAATGGGTTTGCGACCAGCATGGATCCAGACCAGCCTGCGCATCCGCGCAGTCTGATCAGGATCCATGCTATTCGCTATCAGTTTCTCTACTCGTAATAGGGTTTGTAAGCGAACAGCATGGATCCTGATCAGACTGCGCGGATGCGCAGGCTGGTCTGGATCCATGCTGGTCGCAAATGCACTATGTTGGTTTTGTCATGGCGCGGCTCATATAATTTATTTTCCTACATAATATGCTATCTTAAGTTATACTCTAGCATAAATGTCCGTCGAACTCTGTGCTTTCAGTTCTTTGATATGTATTCTACGTAGGAGTTATAAAGTCCTACGTAGGAGTTTAAAAGTCCTACGTAGGAGTTACAAACTCCTAATTAGGCTTTTTTTATCTCCTACGTAGGAGTTATAAAGTCCTACGTAGGAGTTTTAAAGTCCTACGTAGGAGTTTAAAAGTCCTACGTAGGAGTTACAAACTCCTAATTAGGTTTTTTTTATCTCCTACGTAGGAGTTATAAAGTCCTACGTAGGACTTATAAAGTCCTACGTAGGAGTTATAAAGTCCTACGTAGGAGTTATAAAGTCCTACGTAGGAGTTTAAAAGTCATACGTAGGAGTTATAAACTCCTAATTAGGCTTTTTTTATCTCCTACGTAGGAGTTATAAAGTCCTACGTAGGACTTATAAAGTCCTACGTAGGAGTTATAAAGTCCTACGTAGGAGTTTAAAAGTCCTACGTAGGAGTTATAAACTCCTAATTAGGCTTTTTTATCTCCTACGTAGGAGTTTAAAAGTCCTACGTAGGAGTTTAAAAGTCCTACGTAGGAGTTACAAACTCCTAATTAGGTTTTTTTATCTCCTACGTAGGAGTTATAAAGTCCTACGTAGGACTTATAAAGTCCTACGTAGGAGTTATAAAGTCCTACGTAGGAGTTATAAAGTCCTACGTAGGAGTTTAAAAGTCCTACGTAGAAGTTATAAACTCCTTATTAGGCTTTTTTATCTCCTACGTAGGAGTTACAACTCCTACGTAGGAGTTTATTTTTTTTATAGAACATTATGAATTGGCACCAGGACGCTTCCGTACCATAAGCTTTCTATGAGTGTCTCTGAAATAAAAATGACCTAAATAGATGTATTGAAATTTTTGTTTCAAAATTTATCATTTTTTTCCTCTGAAAATAACACTCTCGAATTGGTAAGAAAAACACGGCGTTCCCTCCAAACTTTTTTTTATTTCGTAATCAATTTTGATAATTTTGGATTGAAATAAAAGTGTGCTTCATACGCTTTATGATAACTAAATATATAAAGCCTACAAATAAAAATGAATTAAATCAAAATGAATTAACTTTTTTTCGTTTAAAGGTTTATCATGTTACTTTCTGTAAAATAGAGAAAATAAGAATCCCTAAAGAACGCTCAAAACGACAAAATTGAGAATGTTGCAGGCTTGGTTTGATTGAGCCTGTTTATGGACGGTAATGGAAAGAGCAAGTTACCGTCCACATCCCCTAGCACCGGCTTAAGCAAAATTTAACATGAACTCGTACAATTTTGAATTTTGAAACATCCGCAGATGTGTTAATTTTGAGATTATCATGGAACCTTCAATGTGACACGTTAGTGCCATACCATGAAAAACGGAATATGGTCCCCAAGTAAAAAATCAAAACACACTCTGAAATTCAGTAAGAGAAACATGGCGGGCGCCCATTACTTACTTTTTTTATTTCTTGGTCAATTTTGATAATTTTAGACTCAAGTAAAACAATCCTTTATGAATTTTTTAGTGATGCCTTAATAATGAAAATAATTACGTAGAAGTATTTAAAATTTTGTTTCAAACTTATCGTTGTTTATTTTTTATCTCTTAAAACCACACTCATATATTCGGGAAAAAATGACGTCGCTTTTTTTAGATACTATATTCAAAAAAGAAAATGAATATTGAATGAAAGTTAAGACCATAAGCTTTGAACAAGCATATTAAAAATCTGGAAACAAAGTGATCCCTCGGAAGCATTAATCACAACAAAATTACATAAGAATTGCAGACTCGGTTTGATTGAGTCTGTACATGAGGGATTATTAACAAGTGCTCCATCCCTCACGCCCCCTAGCACCGGCTTGAACGGTACTCAATTCTCAACACGAAATAGCGGTGGCATCAATGATCCCGTAGGACCAGAAAAATATAACAACACTGAAGTGAAGTACGGGGCAACTTTTTACTTCTGCCACACGGCACTTGACACCTGCTGTTATGAAGTATAAAAATCTGGAAACAAAGTAATCCCTCGGAAGCATTAATCACAACAAAATTACATAAGAATTGCAGACTCGGTTTGATTGATTCTGTACATGAGGGATAATGAACAAGTGCATTTTTTTTATTCATACTGAAAATACCTTATTAAAGATTGTACATATGTGCTACGGATAAGTATTTTCTTGATTTCGGAAAGGAAATCTCGGTGGCCGCTTTAAAATCCTATTTTTGTAAATACTTGCATAGTTTTTGTTGAAAATGAAATTTGTGCCAATACATTTTTCAATGATACCAATAAAAATATTGGATGGT